TAGGGTAGGGGGCCTAGGTAGGTCCGCGCACTCGACATGAGACACGGTAGCCCCCAAATCAAAGTTTTAAAACAAACAAACAACAACAATCTAGATTCGGCAGTGAGTCATTCAGCAGCGCTTCACCTGCCCCCACGCCCCCACGGCACTGCCATCCTCTCTACTCACAGAAAGTGAGCGTTTTGCAATGTTGTTTATCAGCAGCAGGGCCGCTCAAAGTAACGAGGCGAAACTTGCGAGAGACACACGACAAAATGCTTTGCCTCGCGCATGACGCCGCTGCCGCCCTTCATCGTGTCAGGCTATCCGTCCCCTAACCCCTACCCACCTCCCCTTCCAGTTTCGACTAACTGAATTCTGTTACTTTGCACGTCAACTATAACAGAGTTGAGAGCAGCGGCTCACGCCGTGATTACGGCCAAAATGCGATGCGAAGAAGGAGAAGGAGAAGAAGAGCAGGGCGAAAGCCGTGGGGAGGGAGGGATGGAGGGGAGGAGTAAACTGAGAATGGATGCGGTAGCGAAAAATTATTCGTTTAAAAAGTATACAGACGGGGCAAGAGGGAGAAAAAAGACGTTTTAATCGTTACTCCCCACCGGATCATTCTCGCATAACAGGAATCGAATTCCAAGACTGCCATATATACACCCTCTCCATTTGCAAACAACCCGTCCGCGCATTAAAATAACAAAAGACACACACACCCCTCTTTTCGCCACGCTGACCGCATCGCGTCAGCGACACACTAACCGATGATGGGATTTACGGGCTGGTCGGATTAACCCTTTGCCGTTCACCGGTGTAGCGTAAGTACAATGTGATGCAGCCGGTCCACCACCGCGACTAAATTTTGACACTAAAAGGTGCGGCGCAGGCAGTGTGCAGCTTATCATTCGCGGCACTGGAGCAGATATTTAAGTTTACAAAACTGATATAAAATGATGACGAGTTGCCAACACAACAAAAAATGTGTTCATTTACTTCAACCGATATTCACCCGAGGTAAACATACGACAGGGCAATCAGATCACAATTCAGGGAAAAACTAAACTGAATTTTTTTTGTGTTTGTATTATGCCTCCGTCATGAGACACGTTAGCACCCAAGGTTCTAATAAATGTCAAACGTCCCGATAAATTCCGTATAGCTTTGCAATGACAGCGTCGTCGCACGTTGGTTGGGTTAGCGGTTCGAAACGCGCCTAGCGGGCGGCCGATCACAAGAGTTGGCCGCCGCCGCGGCGCTAATCCGTTTGGGCCGCGTGTTTCAAGGGGAGAGCGCTAATGCGAACTGATAGCTGTTTTATCCCGATTCCGTCACAATGGGTCTGGTGGTGGAAAAGGGAGGGGCGCCGGGAGCTCGCGAGCGGTGCGCGCACAAAGGGTCGCGTCCGCATCTGCCGCTATAATGCGAGCGCTAGCCTATGCACATTATTACAAAAGGTGAGAGAGCGCTAAAAGGTGAGCGAGTGTCATCGGGCGAGAGAGAGAGAGAGAGAGAGAGAGAGAGAGAGAGAGAGAGAGAGAGAGAGAGAGGAGCGGGGATATCTTGACACACACAAAAACAAAAAAACACAATTTTTACACATTACCGGACAACGGTGGCAGCACAGTCGCGTCATGAGCAACAGGAATAATATATAAAAAAAAGTTTCAATGACCGGGCCATTCGCCGTGCCCGACCGAGCCGGACAGCAGCGTGGTGCTGGTGATGGTGTCGAGGACTGCCTGCCGGCCTGTCTGACACACCGAGCCTCCCTCAGGTCCGCAAACAGAAACTCGAAAAAGAAAAAAAACACGCACACGCAAATAAAAAACCGGAACAAAAATTGAAAAATACGGCAGCTGTCTGGTAAATTAAATGGGCAAATTATCCCTCCGCAAAGCCACGGCCCTAAGTCAAAAATACAACAGGGGCGAACAGGCGCGAGCGTAAAAAAATAAATAAAACGGGCAACATTCTGTTGAGCCGGAGGGCGTGGCGCGCACGGTGCCGGTATGGCAAAAAAACACGAGGAAGGGCAGAATTGTAAAAAGCCGAAGTTGCCACGAATTTATTACGAATGACAGCCGGAAGGCAATACTCCCGAGCTCCTTCATTACTCGTGAAATATGCCCTAGTGAGCGGCCGCGCAGCACCGGTAGGAACAGCCAGACCAGGATGGGGGCGATACAGACAGCGGGATGCAAAAATGTCCCCCCTGGGTGTTTAGGCCGTGGCGTGGCGGGGCGCGGGCGAGGCCGTGTCTTGGGGGAGGATATCGCTTGCACGCGGATTAGCGACGGGCTCTTCAGCCACCGGCGCGGCCGTGCGCCCCATGTTTTCAACACTTCGTCCCCCCCCCCTCTCCTCTCTCTCTCGCTCTTCTCTCTCTAGCCCGTTGCATCCTCCTCTCCCCGCCGGCAGCTGTGTAGCACCTCTGCTCCCGCCGCAGAGTATCTTCCCGCTCCTCCCCTCCGACTCCATTCAGTCCCCCTCCTTGCACCGGCTGGCCTCTAATACGCATTTGATATGCGAACATTTCTTCGAGGCCCGCCGCCCCGCCATTGCAGTTCGGTGCAACGCGTGACCGCGCGGACGCGCGCTCTCTCTCTCTCACACACACTATCTCTCTCTCCCTCACACACATAGTACCCACTGGAAGGTAATGGCTGTTGGAGAGGGATGGGCGCACATCCGAGGACGTCGGCACGTTGCCGCGCGCGAAAAAGTAACGAGGAATAAAAAAAGCATTGCGAACTCTCTGCGAGATTGCTGTGCGAATCGCGCGGCCCCGGCGACCCACGCGGTGCCCGCGGTATTAATTTCAACGGTCTTTGACAGAAGAGCGGAGCTGAACCAACTGCTGCTGCTGCTGCTGGGGCCAGGCCGGGCCAACCAGGCGAGCCGCGCAAAAATTTCGCGCGCTCCTTCGATCCCCAGCTACGCGCGCGCTTCGCGATTTGCCGATTATCGGAATAGACGGGGGTGCGAGACAGAGAAGGATGCCATGCGAAATGAGAGAGAGAGAGAGAGAGAGAGGTAAAACGGGCGAGAGCTCGACACGCCCAGCTTTTTAAACGAACCCGTTTCTACCACACGCGCCGCGCGCGGGGGGCCAGAGCGTCATGTCGCCGCGACCACCTGTCGGAGTGCAATACCACATTACCTCAGTACCGCCAACAATCGACACTGTGCTCAAGGCCCCGCCCACCGTCCACTGCCCCTTTGTTGAGTGTACCCAAAACAGAGAGCGAAATGAAGTAAATTTCTAGAAATGTTCCAGCGACCAAGCTTTCTGGTGTCAACCGAACTTTCTTCCATGTTTTTGCGGTGCACACATTCATGCTACCACACCGACAATATAGTTTCAATAAACGTTCCAGGTGGTCAGTGCCTTGGTCAGAGCGAACACCTCTATGTTCAGTGTTGCGGGTCGGCATACCATTTCATGCTGCAGGGGCCATGACGCAAGACATGGGCTGAGAGCATAGGCTAACTTACAACGCTGTTACATCCCGTACAACTGAAAATGTTAACTTCTTTGTTAACATTAGGATGTATAATTTAGTTTTCATCATTAGGGGTTCGTTTCGCAGTTTACACGAAGTGTTAACGTTTTATCCGCAAATAACCTCGCTGCTTGTCATAACACGCAATTATAGGTGGTAATGGCTAAGCAACAATAAGGAGAACGAGAGAGAGAGAGAGAGACGGGGAGAGAGAGGGAGTGCAGAGGGAGGGAGTGCGATGACAGTAAGCGGCTATGTGCCGCCCATTGTAATCGCTAATCCAACGATACGCGTACCAGGGCTATAAATAAGGGAAGGTAAGGGTGGCGAGAGGCGGGGAAAAGAGGGGGGATGCAGCAGCGCGCCACCTCACCGTGTCCCCGGGGAGCGATAGCGAGCAGTGCAGCGGAGAGCGACCAGCTGCGTCTTACCTGCGGGCAGAGAGAAATAAATAACAGCGTTTTATATAAGGACCGGTACTTTTCATGAGCACACGCACACAAAAGCTGCTGGGGTGCGGGGGAGTCAGAACAGAGGTCGGAGCTGCCAGGTTGCCAATCATGGCCAATATTCAAAACAGAAACAAGGGAAAAAACTCGTCCGATAAATATAAACTTTTGTTCATTTCGTCGCCAGGCAGGCGGGCATGGCAGGTCTGCCGCGCAGAGAGAAAAGACTTAGACTGCTGGAACCTGAGAGAGCGAGAGAGGAAGGCAGCCCGAGCGAGTGGGTCACCGCCGGCACAGCGCACAGGCAGAAAAGAAGATTTCCAGTGCGGAAAGACTCCGAAATAATAACCGATTCAGCGTCAAACTGCAGCAGAGGCCAAAGCTGTCCGTTACCGCGGGCCGCGGGGCACCTCAGCAGCTAGCACACGGCAGGAGAGGAGGGACGGTCCGACCCAACCACCACCACGGACCCACCAACGGCGCAGAGGACAAAAAAAATATACAAGAGGCCAAGAAGAATAAAAGGCGAGCATGAATGTTTCAGCGCGCGCGACGAGCAGACGAGGAGGTCCTACTGCTGCACCGCCCGGGGTGGCGCGTCGTCCGGGCCGGGTGGGGCTGCCCTGCCCTCCGTCCCGTGTAGAACAAAACTCGGTAAAGCCGTCGTGGATTGGTCGTTTTTTGGATGACAAATTTACTGCGAATGTACAGCGATTATACGACGAATAGGACGACAGAAATACGATAGAGGTACGACGAACGCGTTGCACGTAAAACCGTTATAAATTGGTCGTTTTTTCCATAGTAAAAGTGTACAGATTAAATACGGGAAAACGACCAATTTACAACAAACGCGGGGGCCGCCATGAACAGCGTTGCCGGGTTGCGCCTTCCCCGAAACCGTGACGTCACCGTTCTGGCGGGGCCCCGCCGCGGTTCAAAAATCGCACTGTTTTCGCTTCCTCCCTCTAAGCTTTTCTCAAGATTTCTCCTCTCCGTTTACGCCCGTGCGACAAAACGACTATTCTGGGAAGGGTGTAATTTGGCAACAAAAACGATATTTTTTACAGTAGTCTTTGTTTTTATTGTGGACATTATACCTGCCAATGTAAATAACTGAAAAAACAATTCAGCACCAGGCTCTTGCAAAATGCACACAACTACTCCAACTCAAATTTATTGAGTGGCTCAGCAAGGTATACAATGTCTAAGCAGTCTAGTTTGTACAGGACAGTTTTCAAATCATATATATCTACAACATCAACATTAAAAAATTCTTCCTGCACATGAGAAGCATCAACTTTAAAAATATGATGAACAGTAACTGACTCAGTTTGGAATGGCACCACAGGTACAGGTTTGATAATAGCCATATATTTTGTAGGAAAGGAACAAGAACACTTTTGAACACATGCACATGACACTTTGACAAAGAACTTGATATGACCAGACTTACAACTACTTTCCACTTGATATTTACAGTAGGAAGAATCTCTTTCACCACGATTGTAATTTGCTGAAACGTAAAGTAGGCGATCCTTTAAAAGTCTATCAAACATGAAAATTTTACAATTTGGGGATAATAATTCTCTCTCTCTTAGAACAGCAAAAATCCAAACATAATCATGACTAATATCAGACAGGGATCCAACACAATAAACACCAGGCGAAATGATATCAGCTACTTTAAGTCTATATTTTCTTCTTAAATTATCACAGTATATCTTTGCTGGGCCTTCCCTCAACTGCCTGACCATTAGTGGTAGAGAAGTCATAAGAGACAGTTTAGAATGAATTTGCAAACCAACGTGACGAGTACCATGAATTAGATTTTTAAGTCTGCCATTGATGTCCTCAAATTGAAAACAACTTGTAGCCCACAATGGACCCAGAAGTCGAACCACATGATCTAAATGTGTGCACATATGCACATTGTGGGACATGTTGTCAACACCATAAATAACTTGAAATTCCTGCACAAACTGCCTTAACAGGGTGCCAGCTGTCACTATGTCAGAGGGACTAATGCTTGAGGAGTTCAGGAGAGCAACACCCTTTACAAACAAAGCAAAGTGGTTGTAGACATGAGGCTTTAACACACCCTGCAAAAGGACTAATGACACATAAAATAAGAATGACCTAAATTCTGAGGCCTTCCAATGTACCAATTTTTCCACAGGTTGATGTAACCTCTGAAGAAAGTGAGGTGGTGTCAAACTCAACAAACGTGCACTGATTGTAGAACTTTGAACATGTGATGAAAATGGCAGATGTTTGAAATCTTTGTCAAACCACAGTCGCAGCATTTGCCGCATTAAACCAAGATAGATGCAGTGCATGCTGTCGATTGACATCATTGAAAACATATTATCTAACATATCTGACAAAATGGTTGGTCCTTTGATACCACAGTACCGCTCCTCATTCCGCACAGTAGACATAAGGAGAATCCTATTTTGAACAGCTAACTTGACATGGTTTTTATAGGATTGCAAATCCCTAAGTGGTACATCTTCAGCATAAGGAAAAACTGTTGCATCCCCCGGCTTTTCTCCTTTAATAAAGCAAATAGGACAGGAATAAAATCCTGCATGCCCCTTCATGTTCATGAATAAGGAAGTAGCTGGCGCGTCACAAGTTCCACAAACAGTTTTCACAACTACCCTTTGTTTCTCTGATTCTCCACAAACATCCATTAGAACTCCATTCTGTAAAGGCACAAGATCCTTGTAGATTGGCAATAAGTACACATTGGGGTGAGGTTTAACAAGACTACCCCAGAGACCTGCTATCAGCAGATTTTCACTCAGAAATCGTTTTTCTGGAGGAAGTTCATTTACTACCATATAAACTGGCCATAAGGAATAAGTGTTTGATTTAAAAATCTGCACGCCATCAGTATTCCACATCAGAGTGATGGAAATGCCATTAACAGTGACATTTTGAGCCTCAGTTTGCATATAAATTTCACCATCATAGATATCCTCTATATTTTCAGGGTTTTGCTTATCTCTAGTAAGTTTGTGCTGTAAGTTTTGTACAAACTCTGGCCTCATTAAAAAACGTGATAACTGGGCAGCCAAAGGAAAAGTAAGAAAGTAGTGCACATAACGAGCTGGATCAGTACAACTGTCACATAGATCAGACAAACTGACTCTAGTTTTGTAGCACACACTGCAAAAATAGTGCATCAGCACGGGCTCATCTAAAGTTTCCAACATTTTTGAGACAGAATGGCTACTCTTGTAGAAATTGTTTGGCTGCGGCAGATGTAGATCAATAAGTGACAGAAGGCGCCCAAGACCTACACCACTAATTTTTTCAGACTGAACAAACGACAGTATTGAGGTTAGACTCTCTAACATATTAATGCTGGCACCAGGGTAGATAGGTATCCCTTGATCACACCCCGCTGTTGGCTCATCATGTGCCTCATCTTCCTCAATAATTTCTTCCTGTATAAAGTGTGGTCCAGGTGGCTTTGTCAGTTGAAAATTATCCTCCACATCCCGATAATCCCAAAAGTATTCTGTTAAAAATAACAAAACAATTGATAGGGGTTTGGTCAACACACTGATACTTCGGTAATAAAAATGAAAATACATGTTACTAACCTTCCCCGAAGAGACTTTCCTCTTCAATTCTGAAAGACGTGTGTGCAAGAATATCATCACATAAAATTTGATTCTCATCACCACTTGCGTTGTCTTGCTGTACGCTAGGTACAAAACCCAGTGAAGAACTTGGTATTCTCTCAAGACCTAAAAAAAAGAATAGATGTTGTTGATACAAAAATGCCTCTTTCCATGGCTTGTAATCAATATTATTTCTTTTACAAATACTTACAGCTCTCTTGTACTCTTTTAATGGTTGGACAAGGAACTGGTGTTGAGCTTCTTTCTTGCTGACAGCTTGACTGCGGATTATGTACTGACTGGTGTGGGTACGAAATTTGTTGACCAACTAGTCGCTCTGGAATTGGGGGTGCAGGGAGAGGTGTCAGAACTTCTGGAATGTGGATGTCAGCAACAGCTGGCACTTCTACGTCACTGATACGGAAAGTTTGACTACTCTGTTGTTCACCTTCTGAATCTAAATAGAAACACAAATGCACGAAATGAGTTACAAAGAGACTAAATTTTGGCAAGAATTCCTAACCTGTTATTGGTAAACTTACCATGTCGTGGACGTTTCATTGGTAGTGAAGAAGGCCCCAAAACTAAATTAGCCCTATCCTGCTGAGATCCTAGGGTTAAGGCACTGAAAAAACACAACAAATACGGTCAGAGCAAGGCAACAAAATATTTTAAACCTCGAAGAGAGATAGTTTGACAGACCTTGTATTTAAAATATCTCCGACATCGTCCTCCGCGTCTTCATCACGTAAATAGGATGACAGTGCTCGCATATCTCTTGCAGACATTTTTTCTTCGTCATCGCTTTCCATTTTAAATATCCAATCGACAAATAATGATCTACACAAAATTAACTCCAAGTCTAGAACCAAAATAAAAATGCCGGTGCACCGCCGTTGTCACAACAAAGTCGAAACCGAATGCGTCTACAGAGCTGCCAACTCTTGAAAAGCTACCCACTCAGCGTTTTCTACAGTGAAACAAAATATTCACTTCAGTCACACTTTAAAATGAAAATTTACTATTTCTTGTGTATTTTGTCAGCGACCGAACAATGGCCAGACGTTTTTATTTATACATATGCGATAACACCGTTTCTCTTTGGTTGTCGCTCCTTGGTTCTTGGTTCCCTCAGAGACAGCTGTTGTGTGTTTACATTCCCTGCTGATCGTTTGAATTGGGCTGTCACAAATTTTACCACTATCACCATGCCTAGTTTTCTGCTCGTTTTTTCGGATGATCCTCCTGCTGCGGACGTTGTGCGGGAGGATTTTATTGTGAGCAAAACTGCAGACAACAAATGTGTTTTTCGGTGGGTGAAGGATGCCAAGAAAGATCCTGTGGGAGTGCCGGTCTCCGGCAGAATTTTGAGAGAAGGTAAAGGTCCTGGTACACCAATATTTTTTTTTATATTTTGCTATGCAGTGACAACTTAAACAGAAATGGATGAAATGTTGTTGTATTACCCTTGAACTGGTACTTACATACCGATCTAATGTAGGGTGCAGAACTTAAATGGTTTTGCTGTCATCTGCTTTGTGATTCTTATGTCATATCTCTCCTCTTCTGTTGTAGGGATGAAAAAGGATATGAGAGTGCTGAAAGTGGATGTCAGTGGCACTATCACACAAGGGGCAGGTCTTGGTACACGGAAGCAGGAGCTGGAAAAGGCCAGACTTCGAGCAGCTTATGCGCAGAAACACAATCTCCAGGAACTTGCTGAGAATATGTTGCATTTGGGAATTGGTAAGATAATTTTGTTAAAAAAATTCTAGACATGTAAATAAGTTTAGAAAATACCTATTTGTAGTTGCTGCATGACACTAATGTAATTCATTATCCCTCAGATGAACTTGCTCAGCAGCTGAACCCAACTAAAAGGGTGAAGAGGCCTAAGACTCCAAAAAAGAGAAATCCAGCCCAGATTGCCCTTGTGAATGGCCAGCTGAACAACATGCCTTGTTTCAAGAATGGCCCTCACAAGGTACACTTCAATTTTGTTTTCTTAGCTGTAGTAAATCAATTTTATAGGCATTTACATTACTTTTACTGGTGCTTTTTCAGATTGAAGTTTGGGAGGGAAAAGGTGTGTATTGTCCTGAAGGTTTCCTCACAACAGCCCGGCTGCGGTACGGTTTACAACCTTTATCTTTGTTCCGCACCATTCTCCGGATTCTGTTCCCTACTCGGTTCAGGCTGCTAGATGGAGCAAGTTATTCTGGGAAATACTGTACTGTGGCTGTGCCACCAAAACTTATTGAATCAATAGTGTGTAAGTTCATCTTATCTGAAGATTTCTTAGATTATATGTGAACTGCAAATCAAATGAACAAAATGATAGTTTAAAGGGGGTCAGTTTGGTAAAAAGGAGGTTTTGAGCACTTTTTCAGAAATAAATTCTTTTTAAACCCTCCATAGCTGAAAATGACCCATAACTGTCCTTATATAGTTTGCCTTTAGACCATTGTGCCTAAATTAACAATCGATTAGTCAGATTGACTCATCCTTATGGTAGAAAAGGCATGTCATAACTGAGATTTGTGTTCTTCGGTTAAAAAGGTTGCGCCCATGACTTCCAC